AGGTTCAGCAGTTCAATCCCTCCTTCTCCCAACATGTATGACCAGACGCCGACTCACTTGGCTATGATGTTGCTTCCGACGATAGCAGCCGTTCACTACCTGCACCAGAAGTCCCTAGGTTTGGAGGTACTCCCCTGGGCGGTGCTCACAGAGCTGCGAGAGAGAGTGAAGGCGCTTGGGCTAATCACTAAGGATGAGATCCTAAATCTTTCCGTGGAGTTACTCCCGGAAAGTGGGGTCCGGCAGGTGATCAAGCACTTGCATGTCATCTCTGGCATCGACGAGTGGGGGCAGATCAGGTACCGACGGCGAAAAGTCTTGACCGAGCAGGGCTTAGAATATCTTACCCTGGCTCGCATCAACTCTGGGGAACTGGTGGCCCCAGAAAGCATCTCCCTCCACAGATTCGACCTCGACTCCCTGGAGAGAGAGACTCACATAGTCTCATACGTGAGTAAATTCTTACCGATCGACACCAGAACAGCTTACCTGGAGGAGGTGGAGGCTCTGAGGGCCACGTTCTTCGCCGAAGATCGCAAATTGAATTTGGCTACATCGGTGTGGGATGTGTCGTACAATCGTCTCATGGCAGCCTGTTCCTGAGCCAGACGCCTAGAGGAGATGCTCCCTTAGGAGGAGACACTCCCCAATTGGGAGGAGTTTCTCCCCTCGCCATGTGTGTACAGCTGGCGGAGTTCCTCCCCAGGGGTTTTTAACAGTAGGAGAGTATCAGGTGGAGCTTCTCCCCTCGCCTAGGTGGACTTTCTCCCCCAACGAGGGATGTATAGCTGGTGGAGTTTCTCCCCAGGGGTTTTTAACAGCTCCGAGGAGTGCAGCCAAAAATGTCCCATTATCTGCCCAGTGCAACTCGGCGTCATTACCAAAACACCTCCACTGATGCAGGTCTCTCGTCGCGGTGGCCTGGTGCTCAGATGGCTCATCAGATGGCTCATCACCTGTCAAATGCCTGAGTTCAGCTTGTGACATCACATCGCAGCTTTCTCTCAAAAGCCAGCAACATGTCACGTCCAGAGTCAACTCAAGATCCCTCGTTTCAGGATGAGTATGCGGAATTCTGCGAGCGACGGACACGGGATCAACTTCCGTATGTCACATATAGAATTTTTTTGCGCCAGTGGAGGCGCTCTGCTCGTGCTCACGGCGAAAGTTATCCAGCACATAAAGGTGCCTCGAAAGGCACTGGTGGATCGGAAGAGCTGGGAAGTGGAAAGGGTGGAGTCACTCCCCCTCCTCCTCCTTCCAAAAAGAGAAGCACTGGCCAAAGCGAGGGTGGAGATACTCCCCCTGCAGCAAAGGCCAAGAGTGGAGATCCTCCCTCTGGGGACCTCTCTTCACAACAGGCCACCGATGATCGAACTGAAGCGGCCATCAAAGTACTTCAGAGTGCGGGGTATACTCCTTTTCCCAGCCTGGTCACAGCCTGCGACGGTTCCATCACCGACCTGAACAACCACAGAATCATGGTGACAGTGACCCAGCAACTCCGAGAAGGCCTCGATCAGGCGGAGAGACCGACCCCTGAGATCGCCAATGCCCTTCTTGAGACCTTCTTAGCTTCCCGCCGGGGCCTGGCCAATGAATCCCTGCAGTCGAAGCTTGGTTTCCCAACAGCGGAGGATAATGGATGGTTTAGATTTGAGTACTCTTCTCCAAACATACTCCCAGCCGGAGACAGCGAGGTTGCGTTCCACGGTACACACCTGGAATGTTTGCATGGGATACTGGCCACAGGACGACTTCTACCTTCGACGCCGGATCTCTCAGGCACAAGAAGCTTCGAGGATCGTCCAGGAGTGTATCTCCACAGGCTTTCAAACAGGCATCTCGCGGCCGGATACAGCTGCCTGGTGAGGATTGGGCCTCGCCACATATTCGCTCGGCCCATGATCGAGGCGGAAGCTGCACACTCTGGATCGCAAAATCGTGGCAAGAAAACAAATCAACTAATATACTCCTTCGATGCAGTGAAAATTCGAGCGCTGCTGCTCCAAATCTCAACAAAGGAGACTCTCTCCCTAGGCGAGTACCTCCGCGAGTGGAGCGGAATGCTTGAGATTCCACTTCGACAGGCTCGTGACTCCTTCACAGCTCTGGGATATGATTTGCCTAGCGAAGCGACCTCGTCAGACCGAGGAAAGGAAGGAGGAGTTCCTCCCCTTCCAGCTCCAGCTCCAGAGCCAGCGTCAGGGTCAAAGGGTGGAGTTCCTCCCCCGACTGAGATCGTAGAGATCACTGACAACAGCACAGCCACACCAAGGAGCTCCTCTATTGTGGCATGGGAGGGTGAACCAGGTGATCTTGGAGACTACTGCACAGCCTCTATGGATCCAGAGACCCGCTTCTCGTTTGAAGTATCCAAATCGCTGGCAGCATGCCTCAGACACGGGCACAGACCGTACATCAATGTCACTTCGGCAGGGTGGGCCAAGCTCGAGGACGTGGTTTCTTGGCCAAGAGTGCAGAACCAGAATGCCACGGCAGGCGACCTCATGGAGATTGTTCGTCGTAACACCAAAGGCCGGTACGAGTTGGGAGACTGCCAAGGCACGAAGTACATCAGGGCACTGCAAGGACATTCTCGCTCGGATGTGAACTCGTCAGAGGTGCTAGAGGAACTCACGGAGGAGATGCTCCCCGGAATGCTCTATCACGGCACCTACTGGTCCTTGTACGACCCAATACGTCAACAAGGCCTCCTGCCACAAAACAAGATCTCCAAGGGCCGCGGCAAAGGAGGACGTGGCAGGGAGGGACGGCAGCATATCCATTTCGTGGCGGACAGCGATTATGGGAAACCAGGTGTCTCCGGCTTCAGAGAGAACTCGTCCATGCTGGTAGCGGTAAACCCTCGCAAGGCCTCACAGGTAGGGGTGAAGTTTTTCCGTAGCAAGAACGGCGTGATTCTCACCCCAACTGAAGTGCCTCCTTCTGTCATAGAGTACTATCAGAGTCTGAAATCAGGCACTAAGTACGGAGGCAACAATAGGCCGCTCTGACACCAGAAAGAGAGCCCCGCCAAATGGTGGGGTCGCTCCCCAAGCAGACATTGCAGCCGCTCAGATCAAAAATCAGAGTCTAGGTTAAGGGTTAACTCAGCATGCATCACCTGGCAGCACCCAAGTATCCCGAGGTCAGATCCACAATTCGATGCAGAGCCTCGGGCCCAGTCCCTGCAAGTGAACTGACAGCCAAAGGATCACAAGAAACGCAACTTATGCATGTCTGACACAGGCTCAACTCACCAGCTGTCTTGATTCCAGTAGTCATGCCCGAAACTCCTAAGAAAAGTGGCACCAGAGCGAACTCTCGCACCCCTCCACCAGTGAGACGTCGTCCTCACCTACCCAGGTCGCCGCCATCCAGTGACGCTATCCGGGAGTCAGACTCAGAAGAAGCAGTGGCACCCAAGGCTGATGCTCCTAAGGGCCCGCCGCCGCCGGTGCCTGTCAATCTGTCGGGAAGTGGATCCAGCACGGATCTGGCACCAGGAGGACCAGGTAAGGCATCGGGAGCTCCAGTCAAAGGTGGAATCCCAGGAGGAGTCCCTCCCCTGGACCCCCACCAAAAGCTGTGACCTCCACGATTTCCCATCCGGGAACTGGAGAACTCTATGTCACGAGCACTGGTCCAGCAGGAGTTACTCCGCCATCAGTGAACACCAACAACGAGTTGGAGAGGGCGCCCGGCATACCTCTACTGAGCATTTCACTGCCTCATCGCCTCTTCTACAACATAGAGCTTGTGGTTCGCACTGAGCCATCACAGCGAGTCTAGAGAACTCCTTCGCGACAGCAGCTGAGTGCAAAATGTTCTGCTGCCAATCAGCCAGTGATACACTGCAACCAAGTCGGTTAGCTTTCAGCTAGTGACTAGTGCCGAAATTCTAACTCGCATAAGTCTCTGAAGACACATTCCCATCCCACTTCACAGCTTGCAGCCTTGAGGGGCGGAGCGTGTGCAAGTGCTGTGTTGAGGCACGGCTTGCCGTGAAGAGTGACCGCGCAAGTAGTAAGCAGGGCACTAGGTCGATCCCTCGCAAAGCGTGGACGAAAAGTTTCACCAAAGACAGTCCTCCCCCCGCTGCGTGTGAATGAAAATGTTGAGCTTGTAGACCTTCTTCCTGATCAGGGAGTCCGCCGCCAGGAGAACGGCAAGGCCACGGTTCTCATGGCGCCACTCCTCAAGTTCCGAGAGGTACTTGAGGGGGCCAGAGTCAAAGGTGAACTCGCAGATGTTGAGGTACTCGAGCGCCACAAAGAACGAGTGCAGGCGATCCATGACCTCCGTTTCCGAGGCGACCGCCACCTTGTTGTCGAACTGGACCACCTTCAGGAGGAGATCCTCTGAAGTCTTCGAGAAGCCGGGCGTCTGCACCAGGCGATCCGAGCGGGAGCGCATCTCGGCAACCTCGTAGAACGCCACCGCCCCATGAACCATAAAGTCCCGGTGGATCCTCTCGACGAACTTTCGGTGCAGCCCCGCATATAGGTGAGGATGATGTCGGGGTGCTGAGTGACGAAGAGCTCGCGAAACTCAGCATGATCTTCCCCAGGGATCTCCGGAATCTTCGAAGGATCCTCCTCCATTTTGGCCCGGCGAGAAGCGACATGTTCTTGGAGAACCGAAGCCGACTTCCAGACCGCGGTCAGGAGCGTGAGCGAGAGCTCTTGCGCCGGACCATCTGCACCGAACTTGCTGTCGTCTCCCACGATGGCACGGAGCGTAGCCTTGACCGACGTAATGGAGTCCCCGAGCATGGACATGCGCTCGACAGAGAGCATGCCCTTGTCTGCCATGAGAAGGCATAAGTCCTCTGGGAGCTTCTGGCGTCCAAAGATCTGGCGCAGGGCGAGCTCGGGAGTCTTGTCCTTGTCCGGGTATACCGTGCGATCGACCACAGAGCCTCAATCAATGCTTGAGCAAGCTTACGAAAGAACCCAGAAAAGTGAGAAGACACAGGTGCAGCACCGCTCAGGCTTTTAGACCTTAGAGGCGAGAGCCACGTCCGGCTTAGCACACAGTTTGCAGAAGAGCTTGGGGTCAGGCAGAACAGACCCGATATGCGTAAATTCGGGCGTGATCGCACGTTTGCATGCGATCTCTTCCACAGATTCTGCCGAGCAAACATGGAAACGATAGTCATAACTAGAGCCCTTGACCGGGACCTTGACAAAGAACTCAGTCAATGAAAGGTCCCTGTCCTCTGCGTCCTCGATCGTGTCATCCTCTTGAGCGCAGAGGGGCACGAACTCGCGAGAGACCTCCTGGACCAGCTCCTTGATCATCTTGGCTGGAAGAGACGACCTCGAAAGTGTGACCAGGTGGTGGAGCCACTGAAGAGAACGAGCATAATCGGGGGGCGTCGGGCGCCAGCGATCCTTTGTGTCGAGCTCGGGGATCCAATAGTCGCGTTCCACGAGCGGGAATTGTGAGTCAAACAGGTCCTTCCCGATCTTGAACCAAGCAACCTTGGAGAACGCGACGTCCGGGACCATGAACTTGGTGCCGCGCCGCTTTCTCGGTCTTCGTCTGCCAGGAGATCCCAAACAGACCGTCGGGCTTGACCTCGAGCTCGCGCGGCTTCACATGGATCGCGTCGTCAAAGCGGAGCGACGCAAAGATCATGCAAAGGACCCACCAGATGAACACACGAGCCGGTACTGGGTGAGTCTCGTTCGCGACAAAGCGCTCCATGGCCTGGACCAGCTCGAGGGGGAAAGCGATCGCCTCCTTAAGCGGTCGCCCTCGCTGCACAAAGATCTCCTTCTCGAGCGCTTTCAGCTCCGCTGTCTCGATCGAGGGCAGCTTGAGGTTGATCCGAAAGGCCACCCATTTCAGAGCCATCCTGAGCGAGGGGAGAACCGTTGGTCCGCACGACTCCCTCGAGTCGAGCCCCATGGCGTACTTAAGGATCTTACGTCCGAGATCGGGTAGAAGGGGAGCGGCACATGCCGAGCCCACACCTCGAACTTCTCGAACCTGCGAATGTGGTTCGCCATTGTAGAGGGTGCCCCTGAGGTGAACACCAGCAACCGAAGGGGAGCGCGTTCTTCTTCAGAAAGGATCCCTTCTGCATCATGCACACCTTCCGGTCGAGCGTGTTCGCCGGCACGATCGGCGATTGCCTTCAGGCGCTTTGCCCACTTTTGTTTCTCGGCGTTCTCCAGGTCGAGCAGCGGGGTCGCCGAAGAAGAAGAAGAAGAGCTCGCCGGCAGCTTCGATCTGGCCGAAGGAGCCAGAACTGGCGCAGCCAGAGCTCGCACGGCCATCTCCCTCTGAAAGTGCGCGATCGACTTCGCCGAGCGTTCCATAGGCACCTTCGAGCAGCGAGCAAAGCCCAGCTGGTAGCCGAGAGACTCGACAAAGAGCGATTCCGCGGCCTTCACAAAGACCCAATACTGCTCGAGCATCTGGGTCCTCGGAGCCAGGAGGTCGTGCTCTGTCTTGGCCGAGCTGGCCGTCCACTCCAGCGACACCGCGGCCAACTGCTCGGGCGTCCCGGCGTCCATCGCGAGAACAAAAGGGATCTCCGCAAGCCGAGTCGCCACGATCGCCTGGCGAAACCCATGGTCGAAACAGGGGTAAGCAAGGATCTTCGCTGTCCAGCGATCGGCTGGCGCTGCTTCTAGCGAAAGAAAATAAAGATCGGCATCAAGAGCATCGCCGTCGCTGTGCCCCGACCAACCTTCCCGGCCAACCGAACGGCACGACGAACGACGAACGACATGACTGCCGAGCAACGTGTACAATACAATACTGTACCGAACAAGGAGAGAGAGAGAGAGAGAGAGAGAGAGAGAGAGAGAGACAGAGAGAGAGAGAGAGAAGAGAACAACTGAAAACATGTGCAGAACTGCTTGCTGTCCTCTGGCGGCCCTTCCGAGATTTTCCGCCCGAGCGGGAGCAGTCGTAGCTCCAAAATGCGAGCGCAAACTTAAGTCGCCTCAAGGGCATCTTGGGAAATCAAAATGGGTGAGCACCTCTGCGATCGGCCTCGATCATGGCGTGCGGTGCGGCCTGAACGAGGTCGGCTCTCCTGCTGGAGCCAGCAAGTTCTCCGGCTCGGCCTCTTCGACCACGACCGTGGAAGACTGAGCCGCCGAAGAGGCAGTGTGACCACCAGGGTTGTGGTACGACTCGGCCAGCTCGGCGAACTGTGCCGGCGTGAGCTTCGCCGTCGAGCGGGCGAAGGAGCGATCTTGCCGAGCATCGTCCCTCGCAGCATCGATCATGTGCCCGCGGGTGCCCTCCTCCTCGTTCTGAGCGTAGTCCACCGGCTGAGCAGGTGGGCGATCTTCTGGGGCGAGCGCCCGGGACTCCATCTCCGCCCGGTTGCGATTGCGAACGACAATCTGCGAGGCCTCCGGAACAGCAGTGTCAGAGTGTCAGAGCTGACCGCCGCCTGCCGCCAAGCCCCTTGAGAAAGAGCGGGCGGGCCGAACGGCAGCGGAGCAGCTGACTCTTGGGTGTGGGTCATCTCGGCGAGCGCCGCCCTCGAAACCACCACCCCCTGCATCACATAGAGCTTGCGAAGTTGCCATGATCAAGGCCGCCCACGAACGAGACCAGCACGCCGATATTGGCATAGTCCGTGGTGGCGGCATTGTGCCACCAGTTGTTGTGAGCAGCCGCCAGCTGAGCGAACTGCTCGGTCTGCTCCGGCCCTTCCACCCGTGCCCGTTGATCACGGCACCGGGTGATAGCCTGGATGAGCGTAGGCCCACTGATGTGGGAGACCGTCAACCACGTCGCGGGGACCGAGGTGCGAGCGCACTTCAAGTCCATGCGATTGTTGGCATCGCGATAGCGGAACTCCAGCCGATCGGCGTCATTCCCGACCGCATCCTCCGAAGAGCGGCTGCACACTCGGAGCTCAAACCTCGAGCGAGCATGATCTCCAGCAACGACCACGCCCTGAGGGCCCACAGAGTAGGTGCGACCGCCACACTCGAAAGAGAAGACGGAGCACTTCCAGCCAGTGAACGCGGCCACCACGACAGAGAGCCGCACCCGACCACGGCACACATCGCGGATCAGCAGCTCATCAGCGAACTGCTGCTGGACCGATAGGTCCGAGTCGGCACGGTACCCCCTCAGGATCCAATGAAAGAGGATCTCATTGCCATTGTACACCTTGATATCGGTGTACGATGGCGACGTGTCCCTGAGCACTGGCCACGAAAAGGGCTGAAAAGCCTCGTGGGCGAGCGCCTTGGCGGTCTGAGCAGACCAGTCTCCGCAGGGAACTCCTGTCGTGGAGTCCACTGAGATCGCCAGTGTCGCCTTAATGCCATCCAGAGTGTAGTTGGCAAAGAGCGACATGTGATACCCAGAACTAGGAGTCATAACTTGATCTCTCTCCGTCAAGACGTTCGTCGAAGAGGAGGCGTTCGTCATGATCTCCCGAACCAGCCACGCCTGAAAAGGCGAGACGATCCTTTCGTCTCTGGTGTCGACCATGATGATCGAGGTCTTGCGATCGTCATCCTCACAGGTCGCGATCGACTCGATGTGTTGGGGGAGACGAACCTCATAGGGGTTGTGAGCAGCGGGAGGGAAGCGATCACCAGCCCGATCGCGGCGATGGCGCCTCTCTCTGCGATCATGCTGGTTCTGACCTCCCCACTGGCCCCGAGGTTGATTAGGGTAACCAGCGTAAGGCTGCGGCTGATCAGCCTGCTGCTGACCCCAAGCATCTTGACCCCAACCTGCCATCGCTCGAGCGAAAGCTACCCAGGCCTAGACCTCACAGCTGACCGACACAAAAAGTCCTTCACGGACCGAGACGATCGTCTCGACCCAAAATGGCCACGGAACACCGTGGTGATCACAAGAAGGAGCACGCATGCTGATCACGTGCTGCAGTGTGACCCTCCTATTCCAGACCTACCTAGCCGATAATAGGAGAACATCCCTTCTGTTCGTCGCTGCAAGTGCTCTTGCTCTCAAACCCGAGCTCGTTCTCACAGCGGCGCACCACTAGCTTTTCAGTCACTCGGAGTGTCGACCTATAAGGCCAACAGGTGTTCCTCCTGGGGGACTGCAGCAGGCCTCAGGCTAGGTGCTCAGCGGGGGATCGGGCATCTTCAGGGAAGAAAGTCTCTTAATGCAGTAGTGCATTTCAAGATCTTCGGCTTCTGCTTTCTAGGGTTCGGGATGCCGCTGAATCCGCGATGCTTCTCAGTCGAATTCCCAGAATGCTAGATACACTCTTGAACCTTGTCTCTGGTTCAAGACGGGCACTACAATAATGCCTTCCAGAGGTCTTACAGTGTCAGGGCTCAAGGCCTGTGCCCTAGCGGTGCAAGGGGTCCGCAACTCAGGATATACCCCTCCACAATAAATGCCAGAGACCCTCAACCATCCAAGCTCCAACCTTCGAATGTCCGCCGACAGGCTCGCACAGCCCCAATACCAAGACCCAAAGGACAACAAAGATCGCTCTTATACTACTACCGGCAATTATTCATATATATATATATACACAGACACACACACACACACACACGTTCACATATACATACATATATATATGGTATCCCCCCCCCATGGATCTACCTTTTTCGTGTGTTTGTGAGCCACATCACACGAAAATGGAAGATCCTTGAGGGGAGGGCCTACCCGATGGACCGTTTTGTGGCTGGGTGAACTCCACCCTGGCCCGATTGAGTTCAATCGGGCCGATTGAACTCAGTCGCCCCCCCCCCCGATTGAGTTCAATCGGGGCCGATTGAGTTGAATCGGGCGCCGGATTGAAGATTGAAGATTCCCTCGAAAACTTTGCCGGGGAATCTTCAATCTTCAATCCGGCCCCCGATTGAGTTCAATCGGGGCCGATTGAGTTGAATCGGGCGCCGGATTGAAGATTGAAGATTGAAGATTCCCTCGAAAACTTTTGCCGGGGAATCTTCAATCTTCAATCCGGCCCCCGATTGAGTGCAATCGGGGCCGATTGAGTTGAATCAGGGCCGCTTGACTGCAATCGCGCTTCGTCCCAAGTGGGCGGGGTTTCAGGTTCAGGGTTGAGGAATGTGAATTTGATGTGCCGAACGTGTTTACCAGGATCTCGAGTGCTGCGTGTTGGTGAGCGGTATTACAAAATGATGGCAAGCATTTTTTTGGTCTGTGAATATTGGTGAAATCACCAACGGGTATTCAACAGGATTCATAAAGGTATAAACGGTTTCTATAATCTATGGGTATCTATATGAAATTTTTAAGATGTAAAGGAGGAGTATCGTGTAAGGTGTTCTATATGCTCTTGTTTTTGATTTCTTCATTGGGCACATAGCAGGTACAGCGCAGAGCATTCTGCTCCTGATTATCCTGCCATTAATCCGTTATCTATAAAGTACTCTACAAGGCATTCTATGGTGCATTCTACGGGTATGTTATAGAATATCCGTTAGGTTTTCTTTAGGACTTCCTATGGGGTACTCAGAGGGTATCATAGAGATTGTGTATTCTGTAAGCTAGTCGGTAGGGAAATGCAGATGATATTGTACAAGGCCTATAAAAGGCCAAGTATGTAACGTTGTTTCGGGCTTTCTATCGGGTACTCCATAACGCATTGTATAAGGGATTGTACAAGGCATCAACATGAACGTAAAGATTATCTTACAGAACGTGTTCTATAACGTAATGTATAGGCTATACGGCTATAAGGTACTCAAGAAGATATCTATGAGGTATATAGGGGATATTCTATAACGTCTTACCTAGGGTCACCTGTACGAAATTCTTTGGGGTTTGTGGTATTCTTTAGGTTATTCTCTTCGACTCCTGGATCACTCCTAGAAACACCTTACCCAATAGGCTGCTTCTTTATGAGGGGTTCTCAGATCTTGGGCTCGTTGAAAGGTTATCTATAGGTACTCTTACTTCCCAAATACCTATGGGGGTGTAAGAAGTTTAAACTTTCGCAACAAGATTACCTTATTAGGGGCCAAAAGTTGGAAGTTTGGTTTTGAGCCACTAAATGTTATATGGGTTCATGGTATATATACTGTATACAACGACTGTCATGTATAGGGCCATATGGGCATCCTGTAAGGTCTTCTCTAGAGTATTCCAGACGGTCTTCCATCAGGCGCACGACATATAGAGGGTAGTATGTGTTCCATAAGGTATTTTGTAGGGTATTCTATGTCGTATTTTGTAAGGTATTCTAGATATTCAAAAGATATACGGACTGTGACTGAAAGTATATGATAAGGTATTCTCGAGGCTCTAGGGTATTCAATAAGGCATGAGGGTATTCGATATCAGTGCATTCCATATGAAAGGCTTTACGATACATAGAGAAAGTATTCCAAAGGACATCCTGCAAGATATTCTATATAGTGTCTTGTATATAGTGTCCTATAGGGTATGTGTAATATAATGCGCGCGGGGTGAATCCTATATAGGTGGTCTTGGAGACGGTATGCGACAGGATGTTCGGGTGGATTTCTATAAGATATAAAGGTTATGTGAGTGGAATTTTGCAAAGTATTCTTAAATGTAATTTAAAGGGCACTATATAGGTGAAACACAAGGTATTGAACCCTGGAAATATCGATAGATTTCGTGTTCGCGGATATTATCTATAATCCCGATGCGTCCTATATATGGGACGTGTAGAAATAGGGTCCTCTTTTCATATCTATACTTGTCGTGATACGGGATGACATATCTTTGCTCTCCTGTTGCGTGTTACCTTCACAGCCCATACTGCTGCATGCAAAAACCTATACACACACAGAACATGCATGCAACCTTGCGTTCTTTTGCAACACGAGAAGAAGCCGTACGCGAATGTATGTCGCTTGGAAAAACTCAGTGTGTATATGAAGGAAATGCAGAATTTAGGATCTGCGAAATCTTTGATCGAGTCGAAGCGTATTTAGTGAAGGACTTATAAAGAGAATGGAATACGTTATAGAATATCAACTATTTCCCATCCGGCTCTCAAACACACGAAAAGGTAGATCCTTAAGGGGGGGGATAACATATATATATATATATGGTACATGGGGGGGAACCATACATACATATATATATATGCAGTATTACAGTCACATAAGATCTAGTATTGTTAGTAGAGTTCTATGTCACAGACCCGAACGGTCGGAACTCCAAGGTCCGGGCTCGGCCACACCCCGGGGCCTTCGAAAAGGCAACGGAGCTTTGCTTCAACTGCCGGCGTCTTCCACTACGTAAAGGATCACGGAACTTAGTAAGTAGGGTTATAAGTACCCGAATTGGGGTTATAAGTATTTATAACTGTAGTTACCTTATTTATAACCCCAGTTACTAAGTCCCATGATCCTTTAAGTATTCAAGATGTGTTAGACTGTTAGACCCTCAGAGATTGCTGGAGGCTTGAGATGGCTCCTTTCCAGCTGTTTTCCGATTCCTGGTCCTGAAGTTCAAGACCAAAAGACTTTACCACAAAGGTGTTCGAAGGGCGGAAGGTTCCTTCCTCATGCTACCGGTGAGAGGTGACAGCAACCGGCTCAGAGCTTGGACTTCACAGACTTCACCTTGCCTTCCAAGGAAGTGACCTCCACCCTGCCGTCGTGGACGGTGCGGAACACACGCTTGAGCTCCTCCTCGTAACTTGTGCTCAATTCCGAGAGGTCTGTGGATTCATCCAACTTCAATGGCTCGCCCACTGCAACCGCATAGTCGACACTCCTTGCAACGGGGAGGCCCATCCATCCCACTGGCAGCACCGGCACGAATTGGAACATCTTCATGCACCAGCCTGTCCAGCTGGCAGGGACCAGCGGCTGAGACCTGAAGGCTTCGCTTTCTCCACGGACATAGACGGGAACAATAGCTATTGGACCGAGGGCCTTTGCAACCTCCTTCATTGAAGCCAAGAGCTTGTTGCTGACGTAGAGCTTCTCCAGGCCAGCGGAGCGAGAGCCCGCCGCGGCGCCGGCTTCGCTGGCAACACCCGGGAAGATGACAACGTGAGAGTTCTTCTCGAAGGCAACCTTCACAGCATCCTTTCGTGCTGGAATGCACCCACACCAGCGGGCGATGTTTTGCTGGAAGGGTATCTTCATGAAGACATGTGTCACTGCAATGCGCAAGCTTTGCTCAACTGGCCCACCACAGAGCTGCTGCAGTGCATCGGGGACTGTGCTCAGGAACTGTCCACACAAGGACATCGTTCCATGCGGATGGCAACAGAACAATATACGCTTCTCGTCCCGCAGCACCGGATTGCCAAGGATTCGGAAAGTGTTCATTTGCTCTCGCGCCCACCGCCATACGGGGAGATTGCGGAATGCATCCACTGTGTACCCGCCTTCGAGGTCTCTGTTCACGGCACCAAGCCTGAGCAAGGTGAGCAGGCCGATTACAGATCCGACTCCGTAACGGCGCCATAGGGACGCACAAAGTAAGGCAGGCGCCACAGGCACTTGGCAAAGTGTGATTAAGCCGGATGATAACTTTGGCATCAGCTTCAGCTTTGGCGCGAGCTGGTTGGAAGCCAGTAAGGCCAGAAAGGCAAGAAGGAATTTAAGCCACGACCGCACCATGTAGGGCACGCCAAAGATTTCACACAATGAACGCTACATATAGACAGGACTTGCTTCGTTGTAGACGCTGCGGCAGGTCTTAGCATTAGCAGTCTTAGCACTCAGTGGGACACCAGAAATCTCCAAGTAGAAGTCCCCAAGGCGAAGACTCGCCGACCCGTACCCAGGAATCTTGAAACGTTGACAACAAGCAAGACTCAAAGTGCCCGAAGTACCGTCTCTCAACAAATCCAAACTGTCTAGACGTAGCAACAACAGTCAGCAACATGCATCGGCAATCATCAAAGCACCCTGCTCCGATCAAGCGCACAAACCTTGAAGTGCACCCCTGGCCTTCGGCAGGGCCAGCGGACCATGTCGAAAGCTGACTTGCATTCGGCTTTGAAAGCCACTGAGGCCAAAGACGGCTGAGAGTCGAAGTGTTTCGTGTTCATGGTTTCTTCCTGGAACTTGAGGCCCTGACCAGGCGACTCCATCGTGCAAGAAAAACGTGTCTTCACAGACATGTATCAAGTGCACATTTATCCATCGGTGGGCACAAAAATCAGGAACGTTTCAGGATTTCCTAGCCCTACCTTGCGTGAGACCCTACCTTGTGTGAGACACGCACAATCCGTTTTCTTGATCTGTTGAAAGATGGTCAGGTCCCGCCAAGTGGCCAGAATGCTTCCCTTCTGCACGAGCTGTGCGATGGCAAAAATGGTTTTGACCTGGTCTTGACCTTGATTCGCTCGTCCCTCAGGTGTCCAGACCTAGTTTCGTGATTCGGCGTCTTGATGTTTGAATGGCGCAGCGCTAGCACAGCAGAGTCAAAATGAGACCGCAGGAATGCAGACAGCAGAGTCTACATTCCGCTTTGTATGTTCGGGTTATTTCGGGTGCATCTCTAGCGACTGCCGCAATCATCGCCCACGCCAGGTGACGGTAGGTACATTCGCCATATGGCGGTACCGCACCATGTGCATACTACCAGACGCCCACGCAAACTCCGCAGGCACTGCCGCGTAATTGCCGCAGTGAATCGTGACCGCGAAGCGTCAAGTGCCGCGCGAACTCCGAGAGCAATCTATGGCGGTGCAAACGAGGCGAATGCGTGCGCAATCCCGGTTCCGCCGCTCCCCCCCGCCCGTCTTCCCCGTGGGTGGTGGGTTCAGCAGCTCTTGAGGAGTATTGATTTTGCCCATGGGGAGTTGGTAGACAACACCATGCTGAGGGGAGACCGATTTCCATCGAGGTAGCTGGGGAGCCCATGAAGTGTTTGCTAAGCCTTAAGGCTCTATCCAAGCTGTTGCAATATGGAACGCCTTCTGCCACGGCTGTCGCCAAACCTGGGTGTGTGATGCTATTGTTCCACAGTTCCACCTGGACCTGTATTTGTCTGGGAGTCTCAACTTGGCCGCCGAGTGCCGCAGCCGTCCATGTGCCACCTGAGAAGAAGCCGCATGCCTACACCGGTCAAATTGTGTCCTCTTCGGGCCCTTGGTCTGTCTTTGCTTATGTCCGAAGCGTACTGCGGGCTGCGAAAGGCCTTGGGCCCACGGGTTTTCCGACCTATCCAACACGGACTCTTGAAACCATGTTGCAGACCGGAGCATACGGGAACTAGAAACTGAGAGCCTTGAAGAACATGCCCGTGTCGAAACATGGGCTGGACAGCCCGTGCGCGAAAATGCATTACATTTTCCACTTTGTGAGAGCACTGACTCTGAGATTGTGTTGACGCTCATGGACAGTCCAGAAAGAAACAAACGGCAACGAGCCGACTGGAATTCATACCAGATGAAAGTCCACAACCTGGAAACATCAAGCCTGTCAGGTACCGGCCCACAAACTTTTCTTTGCACAGGCGTCGAGTAGTGTGAGACACTGCCTGACAGAAGCGGACAGCAAGGTGCATCCACCTGGTGTTTAACTGAATATTTTCAGACGGTGAGAGATAGTCTAAACGCCGGAACAAATGCTCCAGGCTTCCACAAACATCGCACATCGCAGGCTCGAAGTGCGAACGGTGCAAGAACTCCCACGTTAAAGATTGTCCACGGCAGTCCTCCTGTGAAACATCTCTCGCCATGGAGCGGGAAACTCAAACGACCCCATCGTCAAGAACGTTTCTTGATGGAAAACATGGACACTCCCAATTTAAGCTTCAGCTGCTGCACCACCGAGGCAATCCACACCACCAGCCAGCACGCGAAAACCTGAACAGCCAAAAAAGTATCGGCACATCTTACTGCGTTCTGAGCCAAACGGAATCTGCTTGCTACTCCATACCCCAAACCACTGGCTGAGTTGACTGCCAAGGTGTGGGAGATGAGGACGACTCTTGCCGTTGAAACAGGTAGTGCCCAAGATGCACCCACTGAAGCCACCTAGCACCAAAGTCAGGGAGTCTAGGGAACAGGTTCATAAACGGTACTTATCTTTCCACGAAGTGCTCAGCTCCTCGCGAAAGGCAGCACACACCATTGAGCCGAGGAGTAGGGCATCCTGCAAACATCCCCGAAGCTTCCACGAGGATAGCTGGAAGGCCTCGCGGCTCCGCTCCTCGCCATGGTGAACACGATGAGCTGTATGTTCATCCAGAATAGGTTCCTCAAGAGTGTCGAACTTGTGGTAAATTTTCATAGGCCCTGACGGCGGCCGGACAAATTATCCGAGAAAGCCTGGCCATCACAATCACGCCCCCGTGCTACTTTCTGCTTCAGCGCATCACCGCAAACCAACGTAAGAACGTGTAAACCAACCGAATCATTAACATCAAAATCAACTTGGGGTAGCAGGATGCTGCAACACGCGCTGATCCCTGTTGGCAACCTCCAGCTACACCAACATTTGGCCAGGCCAGGGTGGTGACCACGTCGGCATGTGCATGTGTACTCCAGCACCCAAAGTTGGACCGCCGACGCATGCAACATGCTTGCGAGTGGACAGAAGCTTTGGCCAACAGCTGGCTACCAATCAAGCCTGGGTTTCGTTATTCGTAACCTAGTACACCTGTGCCGACATCTCAATATCACATGTGCGAGGCATGCAGGATTCCGCAAGAGTGACAGGCAACTGTACACCGGGTGGTCGGACACGGAGAGTTAGTGTGTTGCGGGAACAACCCACTCCACGGCTCTCGGTATGAGATTGCCTCCAGCCGAGTGACAGCCCCGTGAGGAGCAGCACAAGGCGTGGCGAAGAGGCCAGCAACTCAGGCTGCCAGAATCGAGCAGCAACGAAGGTGGCGGCTATCGGCGCCAGCTCCTGTATCGCGATGGGTCCAGCAGCTTTGAGGGTGGTAACCTGACAAGTGGGCCGTGTCTACACAGCATTTAAGGTCTTTTCCCTGCAGATGCCGTCCATGAAATCATGCTAGCACAGCACAACAACCGTAATCACTTTGACTTCCCACGAAGGATAATGAATTTAGCAGTATTTGTCGATCGTTTGCCGTCATAGTACACAAACACGCGAAAAGCCTAACAAGTTGTTGCAAGAGATCGCACTCTCTGCGTCCCATGAGCCACTGGCGCCACCCACATGGCGCACACGACAGCTGCAGTCGCCTGGAAGATCTTCAGTAGCGTACTACCCTTGTACAGCAGGCACGGCATAGCACCTTCAGCACTAGACTGCTACAACCTATCCTGCTTAGAAGGTTGTAGCAGATGCCACACTCTCCGCCAAAGCTTGGAGTCGGAACGAAACTCGACGTGCGCACTCGTCTCTACACCGCCCATGAACTTACCGTCTAAGGATGCACTGATGTCTGGTCTGGTCAGTCGGATGCTTCTAGCAAATGTACGGTCTCTGCTGTAATACCTACGGGACCAGCCTGTAATGCGTTCCAGCAAAGAACTCAATCCCCTCATGATTTTTCGGCTCAGACTATATGTATATATACAGTGTTGTACAAACATACGAAGATGATGGCAAACGCAAGTCAGACGCCCTGATGGATCTCTGGTCTGGACCCCATACCCCCGAGCGCCTTGAGTAAAAGGCTGTCAGGAGCTGCAAGCAAAAAGCCTTGCCACACCTGCCATAAAGGTCTGTAAGCGGGACTGTGCTGCAGAAGCCGCCAAACCAGCAGCGAAGGTCAACGTGGTAACATGCCCAGCAGCGAACCAACGGACGAATACAGAAGGCGCACCGTGCGTGGTCGAATGAAATGCAACGATGTTGCTAGCCATACCATGCTTCAAGCTGCAACCATGCACTAGCTTTTCGTAGAAGGAAAAGCTGCTTTCTGCTAGCACCACCTCTGGACCAACCACGCCAGCCAGCAGCATCGTCGACATCACGCTGAACTGACATTCAGTGACGCCCACCTGGAAGAGATGACAGCAGCTCGGTCGGAGTGGCCAACTGGACCGTTGAGCAGCGAGCACAGCACGGCGTGAATGACATGGCTTAGCCGTCTCTGGACGAACACAGCTTAATTTAAGTAGGAGTGCATTAAATCTGAGTGCTGTGGACATTTGCTTAGCTCATCACCTCACCAGCTGCCGTGGGGAACACGCCGGTGTGATACTCCTGCTTGGCTCATGCTGATGATAATGCTGCAAACACGACGAAAATCGGCTTGTCAGTCCTGGTGCTCTTGCGAATGCTCCTATACAGTTTACGCTTTCAGACCATGTGACTTGCTGAGGGGTCCTGCCACGCGGCCAGTAGGAAGCCAATCCTTTGTTACGTGAAGACTCGACAAGCCGCACATCCAAAACATTGGCCATATCCAAAATACCAGAAGCAAATGTCCGTTCTCAGTCCACATCTAAGTCCGCAGCATCATAGCTTCCATCGAAAACAATAGCCAGGGCATGCTGCTGCTGCATGCGATCGACGCCACCGCAGCATGCTGACCGAGAACCAGGGCCGAGAATCGAAAGGCTTAGGCTTGAAAATGCTTGGAATGTCATTGCATGCGGTTTACATGCTGGATGCTCAGCAACGACGAACGTCAGTAACGAAGTCAAACGAATGATTGTCCCAGGTGAAGTTGCGCAAACCGAGGCCCTCGTAAAGCCTCGCCTGCAGCAAGTTCGAGACACAGTCAAGGCCGTGGTCGAAAAGCTGGCCCAGAGGCGAAGAGGAGCCGGTGCGGCGAGCCTCTACTCTGCGTTCTGCGTTGCATCGGCATCATCACTAAAACTTGATCATAAAAAGGATGGAGCCAGAAGGAAGCAGAGATGACAGTGGCGACCCCATCAACCTTCACACTACGACCATTGCACACCGCAATGTAGACTGAGGGCCTAAGGGATTGCACGTTGGTTCGGATTTTGGCCATTCTGGCCCTTATTTTCAAACTCAACTCAGGTTTGCTGATGATATCCAGAAGGAACTTGGGCCAGGTAGCTTGCTTGCCATCAACAGCATCCATCGTCTGGTAGAAGAGCATTGTACCGCACCAGCTGAAAGAAAGCCATCGAGGCCTTGGGGCCAAGGAAAGGCCACGGTGTTGCTTTTGTTCCCTGGTCTTTTTGCTCCTGGCCGCTGCAAATGGGTCCAAATTATGTTGTTTGTGCAGCACCTCTTGGATTCACAACCTTCCGACAGACGAGGAGCCAACAAAAAAGAATAACTTGATACCCATCAACATTATCAACGAGTATCTGGGCGAGTCGGAGGGAGACCAAGATTTTCTCCCCGACGCACGGATTCCGTTCTTTGTTTACGACATGTGCGTCTGCGTGATTGGTCTTTGGCTCCGAACGGTTCCCCCACCGCCATCAGTGCCACAGCCGGAGCCGGGGTGGCCGCGTAGCGAAGGCCACAGCAAAAAGAATCACCATCTCGGCAAGCCCCATTCTCCCGCCACCAGCCCGCGAGCAAGACCGCGGCCCAATGGCGGCGAGCGAATGAGCCCGGGACGTTTGCTGATCGAAAAAAAACGCCGCGGCCGGCTGGCGTGGCAGTTGGGATGATTTGTTTTTGCTTTCACCCCCCTCCCCCCCTCTTTTGGCTGAAGCACCGCGCGGCAACCTCGCAGCCGTTCAATTGCCACTCTGCGCCCAACAGCATCTGCCCGATTCGTGATGAGATGCCCTTGAATGCATCTCTGGGGATGAGGACCTCATCCACTGCCGTGGCATGACGGGCATATGCGACGGGCGTACATGAGCTCTTGGGTGGTGTGGACCTTGCCTTCACTGGAGATGGGCTGAACGGCTCCTTGCGAGAAGCGTGTGGCGTGCGGGGTTCTTGAGTTCTTGATCGCCTGCATGACTCCATCCTCAGAAAGTCGATGATGGCGGCCTCAGCGACCTCTGCATCGAGCTCCGCAGCCTGTGGACCATGTTCCCCTCGTACTCAGCTTGGCCCGACATTCACTTTGGACCAGGTCGGATAACTGCTATAAAGTAAAGCCGGACTTAGCCATGCCGGGGCCATGGTTCCTCGCAGGGGCCTTTGATCCGAAGGAGCCGGGTCTTTCCCCAAAAACTGCTTCTTTAGGGCCGTCAAAGCGAAAAGCGAGAGTGTGACACGTTTGAGGCCCTGGCCACATCTGTCGAGACGGGACGATACGCTTGGGGACTGTTTGCGGCCAAGCGAAGCTCACGACAACGGCCCAAAGCGCATAATCCTGTGACAGTTCTAAGCTGAGGGCTGGGCTACGATGGACTTCCCATCTCTCAACACTTCCGAGTCTAAGGTCGAGTGTTAACTCTAAACGCTTAGCCATGAACCGCTTAACCGAGGGTTTCGTCATGGGCTTTGTTTTGCCGTTTATTTGTTTGTTTTGAACCCTCGTGTCCTTTGGTGACCGCAAGACGTCCAGCTTGGTCGAGGGACCACAGCTCCAACGACACCGATTGAGGGGATTCACCACCTTACACCGTTTATGCTGTTCAGGGTTCTGGGAGTTTCCACCTGGGTGCTACAGTTGCAGTGCGTTGAGGTTTAGGTTTTCGTAATTTGCATACTCCAGCTATCCTCTATCCGACACTAAGGTCTGACACCAGAGATCATCGCAACAGACAATAAGTCCTAAACCGTCTTCCACACGATACGGCCATCTGCGATCTCAGCCCGACCCAAACACGCACAAGTGGGCATAGGGCCCCCAACGGAGCTTGGCCAAAGAAGGGATCGATGTACCACGACGCCACGAACACGACGCACCTAAGTTCCAATTTGAACCAGAACACTCTGACTTCAATCTTTTTGTCCTGCAAAGACAGTTCTACCAGCTGCCATGCAAGACTATTCTGGCACGGTGCTCTGCAGAAAGTCCACGCCATCAAGCACTTGGGCGATGCAGCAGTTCACATTTTGCAAGTTCACCAAGCTGTCAGCCGGCCGTAGTTGGGACCAAGTCGCAAAGGCACGAAGCCAATGACGGTGACCTACGCAGCGATTTCTCGGTTTCTGATGGAGAGCTTCGTGCACGAGTCCGGGGTATCAGCTACTTGCGGGGGTATGCAAACCAGCTCTGCTAAAAGATTAGTACAGCATTGAGTCTACACTCTCAGACAGAACAGGTTCGGCCCTACGGTTAGGCCGTCCGAGAACCAACTCATTCACCAAACGCAGCTTGATGCAGTCCGACAGTGAAGGGCTGTGCTGGCACGATATCTGACCCCACCTCCCCGCATCACTGCTGCATGCAAGCCAGCATCCTGCCGCTGAGTGCGGTACCAGATTCGGCGCCAACCACATGGGCAGAGCCTGAATCGATCCAGAAGAACATGCTGTCGTTTCCCGGTGCCACTTGTGTTCGAAACTTGAGATGCCTCCGCGATCCTGCTCCAGGTCGGGTTCATGAGTTTGTCCAAGGAGGTATATGCGCCCGGCTGGTACCTCTCGGATCCGAACACTTGATGCAACCTCAAGCCTGCAACTGTTTCGCATGAACAAGAACCTATGCACACATAGCACCTGTGACTGGAGACTGGAATCTGGAACCCAAACAAAGAGCCAGCAACCACAAACATCCTTCCTGAAGAGTGAGATCTCTCTGAGCTACTGGTGGTGGAAGATGTGGTCGGCCCCCTCCTCGGTCAGAACCTCTGCTCAAAATTCGGTATCGTGCTTCGCAGCTCTCTGCGACCGAGTGTGTACATGTCTGGACAGCCCAGGAACTCGTATCATTGCCATGGCTCGGGCTAGTTGCTGTAGGGTCTCGAGCCGCCTTCTTCACTTGATATGAAAGTTGCGGGCATCTCAGGATGTGCTTGTGAAGAGCAGCTGTGGTCATCAATCAATCTTTGTAGCATGCTATTGCGCAGAATTTCGAGGCACTTTTTCCTGGTGATCTCGGGTTAAGTCGCGTAACTGTTACTGCAGCCTGTAGCAGAACTAGCAATGGCATAGTAACAGTGCGTAGCTAGTGTACAAGTATATGCCGGAGATACGACAACTACGAGGGGTCTTAGTTTCTGGGTGGCTGCAGCATCGCTTGCACGATTTGAGATGGCTTTCTTTTCGATGCCTGCACCGATTGAAAAGTCGCTTTGAGCGGCGGACACGACAACCGCTGACTAAAGAAACGGTGTCGTTTCGAGTCTAAGTCTTTAGACCAGAAATAAAACTAAATGTTCGGCACTGAGTCCTTCAGTGTCTGCTCTCGGGGCTGTTGAGGTTCCTGAGTTCCTTATAGTATGTTCATAGTACGTTATTAACTGTCTATCTTTTAGTATATTTAGGGTGATTTAATTACAGTATCTGATGTCGTCTCTGCATATAAGACCCAGCCCCATGTGAGACACTCAAGACACTCAGTTCTGTGAGAAGATTCCTTCGTGGTGCACTGCACAAAGGAGTGACATTAGCTTCCGGGATGAGGACCCCGACCTCAATTTCAGGGTGCTGGCCCTAAACCCTAAACCCTAAACTTGAAGGCCAGCGGAGTTGTGCTTCGTGCTGCTGCTGTTGTACTCTTGCGAGAAAGTCTGGGGTTTCCACCCGGCATCTCTACGGTTGCGAGTGCCAGCCCATGGCGAAAACAGATCATGTCTAAGCTTAAATGCCTTCCATCAAAGGAAGTGTGACGACAGCAACGATTTATTGCATCATTCATAGTTGTAGCAGCGACAACAAAAACAAAAATAACGCTTATGCCGTCTGTCAGTATTCCACTTGCTTGTGACGGCCGCAAGACTGGCAGAAAGCATGACCCTAGAGGCGGCATTAAACAGTTGCATACAATTTTCGTCGCTCACAATGCACCGGCACAATGGGACACCTCCGGCAGGATGATTGAATCAGGATGAGGGACGCACGGTCTTTTTCAAACTTGGGGACATTCTCTTGTGCTTGTGCTACCTGTCCTGCCATTTAGGATCCACATCATCGTCGCCTACTGCGGAAACTCCAAAGCACAAGAAGGCCATTCACAGAAAGCCCCTCTTTGCCCCCCAGACGTGGAAACCGACCCCAACGGCACTCCGGCCTACCCCTCGTCTTCTTCCTCCGCGCTGTACAAGGCTGAAAGGACCTTGAACGCGACTTTCATAACCTTAGAGCTCGGCAGGTAGCCTTGCTGACAAAGATGGGGCCGGCTGGAATCGAACTTGCTCGAAAGGCATTGAATCAGACTCCGCCACTCCACTCGTAGACTTAGCTTGCGACATTCGGCTCCTGTAGCATGCCTGGTGACCCATTCAACCAAGGGGCAAGCTGTCTAGACTCTACACCGTACAGATTCTCTTAAAGAGAAGCAGACAGCCATTGCACAACATCTTCCCGGCCGAGCCGAGGCGCTGAAGTGAGTGCCCGGCACCTGCAAGCATCAAAGGGCCCCTAAAACGACGCCGGAGCTCTGACCCTGCCTTGTGCACTTCAGGAATCTCGGAGAGGGAAGAAAGCTGCCTCGCAACCGCCTGGTCGTCTTGGAAGGTGAGAGCTTGGAACTCACCTTGGTTAAGCGTTTAGGGAGCATGATCAGGCTGCCTCCTCCGACCATTGGCAATTGGAGTCAGGCAACGTACAATTCTCTCTGCAACTGTCTCATTCACCTTCGCGGATGTCCAAGCCTCAGATGCGAAAAGGCACCTGTGACAGCACTTAGAGGCATCATAACTGCTAGATTTTGAGGTATACAGTGTCTGCCGCAGCATCATGACTGAAAGTACCAGCCAGTACTAAACCTAGTCGCATTCCTAGCGAACGGTCTTTTCATAGTGCTGGCACAAACCGCTAGTGCTGCAACATGCCGCAACTAGGGCCACTGCTTGCAAACGCCATCCTATGCATTGTTGCCATATGTTGCCATTCAGGTCTGTAGCTGTTACGGACACAGCAGCGGTATCGAATAAGTTTCGATGTCAGCACCCAGTGCGATTATCAGCATCAGTATAAACATGAGTGCGAGTTTGAGTGTGATACTATCCATTGCCATGCTGTGACTTTTCGCCAGTGCTGATCGCAGTACGTGTACTGGGTCACAGTGGGTTGATGAAAACCACTACTGTTCTCATTCTCACTGCTGCTGGTGCACGCAAGTGTTTCTAATTTCCCCTTGTACTATTGTACTATTGAGCATCATCACTGCTACTCAACAGCACCATGTGTGTTGCAGGAGCCCCAGTAACCGGGCCCCCGGCCATGGCAGCTCGCAGAACCGCGACTTTGGTTCCGGGAAGAGCGGCGGGAGCCTCGCCTTGCTGAAGCAGAGCGCTGTACCACTGCGTCGTTTCCTTAGCGAGGGAAAAGAAGAAAAGGCCTTGGAACATATTCAGGCTAGCCGAGCAAGAACAATCACAACAGTCACGTGCTCAAAGCATGGTTCCTCTCTAGTCTCAATCCCACACCTTAGACTCGAAACGCGACAAGTGTCATGTACATGCTCCAGGGAAGATAGCGCCCCCGGACTGAGAGCTCTCCTGATGGCCTGCATCATACCGTGCTTCAGAGGTTCATCCGCAGCTGCAGGAGTCTCACCACAGGTCATGCCATCCGATTTTGCTAGCTAGGGTTTCTCGCCATGGGCATGGCCTCGTCGCCATCCCCAGCGTGAGCATTCAAAAGCTCAGCATAGGGTGCTCCTTCAGACCCCGGGAGAGTCTGCGCCAGCAGTGCCAGGCTTTCGACCAAACCTGCCAACAAGAGGACACACGCTCCGGACGAGCGTGGCATTACCTCACATGAGCTTCCAGGATGGGTTCGGTCTTGTTGTTCGAGCCTGACTTGGCGAATTCTGCTTGCACATCCACTTGAAGTGGAAGTAAGCTTCGAGGATCCAGTAGAAGCACCATAGATACCTGCAGCTTCACGATCTGACTGCAGTCACGGTCATGCACCCACAGGAAAAAAAGCATCTCCGGTACTCACCAGTCTATGGCTCAACTGCCCCTGCTCTGATCTCAGAAATTCGACGGGCCACTTGCTGCCCCTTCGAGGAAGCGACGGCTGCTATCTGCAAACAGACATTAGCGCCTCGGCGATGCGAATTGACAGGTGATCAGGCACTCACGAACGCATATCTTGAAGAACTCAGACGTGGCAACTGCCTACAACAACCGGCTCATTAAGGCTGCTGTCACCATGACCATCATCAGCATCTTCCCAAACAGCGACGCAATTACCATCACCATCGTCGGCACAGCCTTCACCATCAGAATCTTCGTCGCGACATGCATCGGTGTGACGACTGCTGGCGTGTCCTGCTGGTCGTGCCATTTTGACCGTTGGCTGTGAGCGACATGTGGGCCTGCGCTGAAAATACGGTGCTGAGCTTTACCGTGAATCCTACAAGTCATATTGCTCTGTTTACCCTGACATCCATTGCTATGATTATTCTTCTGGTGCTCCCCGGCGGCCTTATCTAAGGCGTCGTTTTCTTCTAGCTCTTCCGGCTCCTCTGGTGCGGTTTGACACTCTCGTTCCGCAGATATCTTCTGTTCGTATGCTTCTCATTGAAACCGCTGCCTGCACGATCCGTTCCGTTGTAGCCTGAGTCTTGTCATGTATGTCTCGCTGATGACGTTATCCCTGATTGTCGTGGTGAGCGGTCTTGTTCTGTCCAGTGCATTCGCACCACCATTTCTACCGCACGCAACAATCTCGTCCTCCCCACAGCCCTTACTCATGAAGACCCCTCTTATCGTTCTCCTTCTTCGGCTCTGAACCCAAGGTGCCGAAGGAGTGCCCAGCCAGAATATAGGGACCAGTTGGCTGGACCTTCTGGATTTCCGCAAAGAAGAGCTCAGCGAGGTCCTCTGGCAGCAAGCTAAAGGCTCAGGGGTTTGGCAAGTTTTCTCCATCAGATCAGACGCTTCAGCTGATAAATTATGGGGTTCAGGACCCCGGCTTTACGATTTAAGTTTAGGTTTTAAGTCATGGGTTGAGACATGGTGGTTCCTTGAACTGTCACCTGAATACGAAAACACCACAACTCAGTGACGGTGTCTTGACCGCCATGCAACCCCTCAACCATCCCAACCCTATACCCACCATAGCCCGCACTCTGCAAACCCAAAGACTTCCACCCTAACACACGCTGCGAGCCAAAAATCCTGAACCCCAACCCACGCTCTGCAAGCTTGAACCCGAGCCCAGGTTGTCGGCCAGGCAGGTAAGGTGTGGGAGATTCAGGGTTTCATGGATTTAAAAAGACCGAGACCCGAATCCGGAACAGACAAGCCACAGTGTTGAGGGCTCTATGTGGAGGATATTCGTGTGCAGAGTTTTTAACCCTGAAGCCCCAGGACCAGAGAGCACACAAAGCCGGCAACTTGTACTCTGACAGGCTCAAACCGGAGACCGTGTAAGCTCGCACCCTGGAAACCCCCAAACTGAGACAGCGCAAGCCCGAACATCTTGAACCCAAGCAACCTCTGTACCCACGCAGGATACAGATCGAGAAACCGTGCTTTTTTCAACAGCTCATCGAAACTACATACGGCGGAAATGCGGGGAAATAAGCGTTCTCCCTGGGCAAAAGGCGGGTTGCAAAGCAAAAGCATGTACAGTTTCAGCGGCTGCGGGATACCTTGGGATCCCTTCTTGGGAAGCTTTGGGTTTTGAGATGTCGTAAATCGTGACATCGTGACACACAGGTGATAATCCGTAAACACAGTGAGCGCTTCAAAGAGGAACCAGACCCGGTCCTTGAGACTGCTGGGCCACTCTTCTCTGGGGATAGTCTTCGGCCAGCTGAAGCCGTAGCTGGCCAATGCAAGGCGCGCAGCGAGGGCTCTAAAGCTTCCCGCTTGCATGCCTCCGCGGGCATTGGAACACCGTTGGAGCTGCAACCCAACGGCTCAGCCATGACTGCACCGACACACACCAACACCCTGTCGACGGAACCAGGCTTGCTAAGCTTTCAAGGGTTGAATCACGCAGCCCCGATCTGCGGAACATATCCGTGCCTGCACCTGGTATGAGGAACACTGGCTTGCTAGCCGGTGTCTCAGAACCTGGTATTCGGTCATGAAGCTCCAAGCAAGTTGTCTCGATTTGAACAGCGATGCCAACATGTGCTTGATCAAACCCTGAGCAAACATGCGGGCACCTCCATTGCACAGCGCGTTGAGCGGCTCCAGGAAAAGCTCTGGCGCTTGCGGTGGGACTGCGGTCGTGGATAGGGGTGGTGTCGGCGACTCGGGTGCATCATCAAGCCTCAGTGTCGTTCTGAAGGACGGCCCAGCCTTGTTGCTGCTTAGAACAGCAACGCCGCACGCATGAATTGTGCGCCATCCCTAAGCGAAATGAAACCTGCCGCAGTGGGAGCATTGAGCATGGTGAGCGGTGAGAGCCCGGCTGGCTATTGATAAAGACTGCAAGTTCCTGAGCTTCGGAACGACTGCGAGGCGCTAATAGCAGAATCGGTACTGTCTTGCTTATCAGAATAGCAAGTTCACAGAGGACCTTCCAAGCGGCGGCGATAGTGGGATAATCAAAAACCATGGAGTTCGGGAGATTGATACCGTCAAACTCCCTCTGCAGACGATTTCTGAATTCCACACCTGCACAGTGCATACACACAATACTCAGTCATGACACTCTGGGGACTTTCATGTAGAGGACTGTCGTCCGGCCTGACAGGGAGTCCATGCCGGCATCCATCAGGGCATTGTCAGCTTCTAGGTCAAGAGAATCAACCACCTGGAGATGGTCTGCACATTGCACATAGGAGCAATAACGAAACATGCAACATGCTGATACTGCTTGGCCTGTGCAGCCTACCCTGCCCCGCCAAAACTAAACACCCCTGAAAAACCACGAAATCCTCACGGCACCTCCCTCGCCAAATCTCGGAGGCTGCTGCGAACAGCCTCAGAACAACAAATTCTCAATCACTGGATGCTTTGAGTTGTGAGAGATTTGCTGCGCTCTTCGACAACTAAACGGCTGTGTGTATTGCTTCTGTTTCGATCATGGCTGTCACCGCTGCTTCTTCTGTTTCTAAAACCATTTCTAGTACAGGACTGCTGCTGCTGCTGCTGCTGCTGCCGCTGGTGCTGCTGCTGCTGCTGCTGCTGCTGCTACTACTACTACTACTACTACTGCTACTACTGCTACTGCTACTGCTGCTGCTGCTACTACTACGACTACTACTACTGCTACTACCAGTGACACCATCATCACGACGATGACTACGACTAATACTACTACATCTTCTAAGATTCTACGACTACTACTGCTACTACTACTACTACTACTCCTACTCCTACTCCTACTCCTACTCCTACTACTACTACTACTACTACTACTACTGCTACTACTACTACTACTACTACTACTACTACTACTACCACTACCACTACAACTACAACTACAACTACTACTACTACTACTACTACTACTACTACTACTGCTACTGCCACTACCACTACCACTACGACTACTACTACTACGGTTGATGATATAAATCCTGCATTACCTTAAGGGCCCCAAAATATGGGAATTATGGTATATTCCTTACTATGGCTCATGCAGGATTTATATCATCAACAGTACTACTGCTACTACTACTACTACTACTACTCCTGCTGCTGCTGCTGCTACTACTACTACTGCTACTACTACTACTACTACTACTACTACTACTACTTCTGCGACCCCTACCGTTACCGCTATCGTTACCGCTACCGCCTACTCCCACCCGCACCCCTACTCCTACTCCTGCTCCTACCCCTGCTCCTGCGACAACTCCTGCTCTTGCTACTGCTACTACTGCTGTTGCTGCTACTACTGCTACAACCTCCTCCTCCTGCTGCTGCTTGCGCTTCGGCTGCTTGCTTCTCCTCGGCTCCTGCTCCTGCTGCTACTGCCCCTGCCCCTGCTCCGGTGCCTGCTCCCTTTGCCGCTGCTGCCTGCAGCTATGGCTTCTGCTACGGAAGCTTCTGAAGCTAAACCCAAAACGTGAAACCAAGAGGCCGTCAGGCGCTCTTCACCGCTCAGTGCTTTTAGCGCCCCCAGCGCCCCGTTTTTAGGAGCATCCATGGCCGACCGAGCTTCGGCAGCCTCCACAAGAAAACGTTGCCCGTCGAGTGTTAGGGCGTAGGGGTCTGGGGTTTGTAGGGTTGAGGGTTTCATTGTTTGTTAAGCTGATATTTGGTGTTATAAAACATGTGTATTTTGTTTTGTAATGTCTTGTTACGGCTATGATGATCGAAAACGGTACGGCATATTTTTCAAGTTTGAACTGAAGAGTGTTACTAGGGGTGCGAAAGCCCTTCTAGATAGCATCAGCTAGGGATTTACTACTTGGCCGGTCCCTGGAAATTCAGGGGTTTCGGGTCTGCCGTTGAGGGTGTGGGTTGTTCGTGGTGTCGGTTGATCTCTGGATTTAAGGTTCAGTATGTTCAGTGCCCGCTTTTCAACTCTGCACCGTCCATGCCCGTATAGCACTCATGCCATGTAGACTTCTACTGCTGCCGTGAGGTCTTTAAGACTGCAGAAAGCATGGATTTGGGCCTAGAGTCTGAAGCACGGCTCCGCTTTGCATCATTTGCTGTATAGGCCTGACCTTTCCAAATCTTGGTGCTGCCTCCTTCTTGGCTTCCGCTTCGAAGCCCTTGAGGAAGCTGGGTACTTGCGAGTAAGCACTCCTTGCAATGGTCGTGGCGAGTTGGGGGTGAGGCTGACTGCCGCATAAAGAGTACAAGCGTCTTCAGATACTTGCCCCATCGCACCGGCACGGCGCCGACCAGGAGATGGGAGCTGCTGAAGATGCCTTACATGTCACTATGGTGACTGCACCTATCTGCGAAGAAAACAGAAACAGCTGGAGCCTTGTTCGCCGAGGGGCTGCCGATGATGGCGAGGCCCTGGGCGTTGGTCAATGCACCGACACCTTCAACAGCACATGTGTGGATGCTGCGGCTTCCGAACGCATGAGTCACATTTCGGATAGAACCGGATTGAAATGCAGTCCTAGCGATACTTTGTGCGGCGAAGATGCCCATGGACTTTGCACGTCCCAGTGTGTTTGCCTGCACCGCCATGCCGACCTCGGCCCAGGGTCCCCACTGGACCGAACGCGCATTTCGCCAAAGGGAGCCACCTTCCTCCGGGTGATGCAACGGCTCCCAGCGACTTGCATGAGCACCACACCAGCTCCTGGGCTGTCCTGTGACTGTGAACACCAGAAGGGCGCCAAGGAGTCAAGCACCGAATTCGAGGCCGAATAGTTGGCCTGGCCTGAGACACGCCGTAGCTGTCACAGGCGTCATGAGAAATCCTATGCAGACAGGCCTGGTGATCCAAACAGTGCCGAGGTGGAGGAGAACAGCAAGTGAGGCGCCTCTTTGCGAAAATCCAGAATACGGCACAAGTTGAAGAGGCCGTGCACCTGGCGGCCATGAACCAAGTTTGGTTTCAGATGCTTTGTCCATTGTGCGCACGCGCCCTCTTTTCAGCTGCCCACCTTGGGACCATAGGATCTGTCCAAGCTCTCGCGGCTGAGACTTGGGAGGACCCCATCTGCCAGAACGCCAGCAAGGTGCAAGAGACCTCCCAGTGTGCTTCCTGGCAGGGCCAAGATTCTCAAATAGCACGGAAGAACTACGGAAACACCAGTGATGACAAGAGGACGACAAGGCAACAACAACCACGGCAACACCAACAACGACAACGACAACAGAAGCACAACCACCGCCACCACTGCCACCACCGCCACCACCGCCACCACCAGCACCCACGACAACCACCCACGACGACGACGACCACGATTGCAAGAAACACGCATGCCCGTGACTACCACAGATGCAACAAGCAAAGCCAACGCCTGCCAGCGCGTCGCGCAATGCCATCACGGACTCCTTTCGTCCTGCTGTATAGCAGCGGCCCGAGGGAAGCGGAAAGCTGAACCGGAAAGGCTATTGTGCCAGACATATGGGAGCTCTGAAACTTGTCTGCTTCCATTTCGGGTGCTTTGCAACACGAGTGCAATGGTTTGGTTTTATGTTGGGGTCGCTTCTTTCTAAATCTGCCATGTCGATCGAATTATTGCAACGGAGCTGCCAACGTCACATTTCTCGATGCGGAGGTCGACGGCACACTTCTGGAGCCAAGACCACTGAGGCCCAACGTCCTGTAGTGCAGCATTTGCAAGAGTTTTGGTCCGTGCAAGAACTTGGGCTTCACAAGGACATCATGCAACTCAAACTGAGCAGTGAAGCTACTTCTCCTCCTCCTCGTCATAACACGCCAATGCTACTGTTACTGCTATTGCTGCTACTGCCACTATTACTACTACTACTACTACTACTACTACTACTACTACTACTACTACTACTACTACTACTACTACTACTACTACTACTTCTACTTCTACTACTACTACTACTACTACTACTACTACTACTGCTACCACCACTACTACTACTGCTGCTACTAGTGACTCTTGCAGTCCAGGCCTTCGCTGGCTGGCCATTGCGCGACAGCAGGCACAAAGCTTTGCAACCTTCCTCCACCAGGAACTGTGCTGTGACCACCCCCAGTGCACCAAGGCCACCAGAAAGGACTGGCATTTGCTTCGGACTGCAAAGCAAGCCTGAGCCGGCAGCAAGACTTAAGGAGAACCAAAACCTTGTCGCTGTGAGTCTTTCAAGTAGCACCAGCAATGCCAGGAATCAAGAACGTGGAGTACCTTTGAGCGTACCATTCGTATACATGTCGTAGCGGAATGCAGTAAACATGAACACAACGAAGGAGAAGGAGAAACGGAAGAAGAGCTGCTAGAGATAAGCTGCTAGAGATAACGATAATGCGCATTGCTAAACTGTCGGCGCACCTATGCTAGCACGAGTGCTAGCAGAGTAATCAGATTCATCGCCGAAGGCCAAGAGGCGGCTCGGCGAAGTAATGACGACTTTTCCGATGTTGCTGGCTCTCTGGAGGAACTGCAATGCCACGACACCCTTCTCCATGCCATGAAAGAGGTGCCTTGCTGGGTGTGTAGTAGGCAGCCAGAGCAGTCGCAGAAACAGCGTCCCTTGTTGTACCATTGGCAGTATGACCAACCATGGTCAGGAGCTGGGGCAGAGATCTAATCTGCAAGCAAAGAACATGTTGATGGGACTCAGCCCTCCGTCGTCCACGCGTTGCAATAGCCGCTTCAGGTACGCATTGTACCGCCATGGCTCCTGCAGGAAGCAAGAAGCCGGTGCTACAATCATGCTTGTAGCTCCGCTCCTTTTCCATCATGGTGTCTGCCGCAATCTTCTCATACATGACATCTGGGCCTGAGCGTATGGGTGTAAATCGGCTCCGCATGTTGCAGAAGGTCCCTGACCACGACGTGAGTAGTTTCATGTCGGTCTAACCCCCCATGTCGTTCAGCAAAGCCACGCGCTTCGAACATCCTGAGCTCAGCAGACGTGAAAATCAGGGCCCCAGGCTTGCAGGACGCAAACACGAGGCAACGAGACCTCCATCCAAGAAACTGCTCGTGCGACCAGATGCCACGCTTGCCGATCTCAAGGAATCGGCCACCCTTGCGAAGCAAGGCCAACGATCGCGAAATGTAGTCATCGTGGCCTGGGTTCTTTGTCACACCAGCGCACAGCCAGACATTTTTCAATCAGTATGGCAGCAGCAAGGAGTCACGAGGCAGTTCCCGTGTTCAAAGCAAACGGATTTGGTTACTGTTCCAGGAATGCTTGCGTGGCATGCCAGCCGTCCTTGGGCTCCCGCTCTGGCGTGGTGCACATTTGCGCGCTGGCCGTGTCCGCCGCAGATACCGGATGCATACAAACTATTGGCGCTCCCGCAGTACGGTGCATTTTCTCGGGTTCCCATTCTTGCTCCCGCTACCGTGTGGTGCGCGCTTCTGGTTCGGAATGTAGGGCTTCACTGCTAGGTTCTGTTTCACGGTGTTTTGGATCTGTGGCATAATTAGAAGTTTAACAGACAGAACATCGTATGCATAGGCAAAGCGCTGAGACTGTTGAGCACCACATCGACTCCGTCCACGCCCTGCTCCTGCAGTGTTGGCATCACTCTCTGTGTGCTTCCGATTGCGCATCTTAGTGGAACTGTGAAGCAGTTCACCGGAGCAAAAACCGGGAGCCTCGAGGAGCTTCTTCATGTCTTCCTCAAATTTCTGGCCATTTCTGCTGCTCGTGATGTATTTCACCTGAAGGGCAATTTCACAAAGCCGGCCGTTGCTACAGCCACTCTTACACTGAATGTGTGGTGTCGGCTTCCTGTCAAGTTGCACCGAGCCCTCTCAAGAATTCGTGTTTTTCTGCCGCTCCAGCAGTGGCAAAGACTTCTGCGCCGACGAAAGCAGCATACCTTTTGCAGGGCAGGATCGCTGCGGAAGCACATGTAAGGGCGCCCTGTAAAGAGTCAGGCTCAAGCACCAATGGAAAAATGCTCCCTACCATCACCACCGCAAGCCACTACTATCACGACCACTGACCATCATTTTGTTGCTGGCGATGGATGATTACATCTGATCCTCACCAACAGTATCATCTTCAAAAATGATATTCAAGGTCATCGTCATGGCATCTTCACTCAGCCTACTACTCAGAGTGACAAAAACAATCAGAACAATGATACCTACACCCTAGCAAAGGCACTGGATGGCTACCAGGCCCACACCAACCGCCGCCGCGTGGATGAGGACTCGCTCGCCCCGCTTCAGCTTCGCAACATCGCCCAATGCCTCCTCCACGGTTACGAAGATCACCGGCATACAGCACGCCTGTCAAGACGGTTATGTCTTCTTCTGAGAAGGACGGCTCGATTACATGTGACCGGGCCTCCTCGTAAGTCCAGGAGGGTGGCTTGGGGGAGAGCAGGGCTGCGGAGCTTGTGTTGTAAGTGCTGAGGCACCCGGGGGACTCGCCAAAAACATCCTCCGCCAGCCGTAAGTGCGGGATTTTGTCCCCAAGGCTGATGACTGTGCCACCGCAGTCGGCACCAGGTGGACCCGGATCACCGGGGTAAAGGCCCATGACGTTCAAGACATCGCGGAAATTCAGACCAACCGCGCGGATGCGCAGCTGTGCCATCCCTGGTGCTGCTGCTGCTCGTGCAGAAGTGGCTTGCGGAACCACTCGCATACCAGCGGTGGATCCGCGTGCTGGCATGTTCAGCCGTACGGCTCCGGTGTACTTCAGCGCAGATCGCGCAAGCTTTGCAGTCCTGATCCCTCCGTCTCGGATCGCCATCTCCTCTTCTTCCGGCAAGACCGGCAAGACTGTGCACAGCTGGGCCCAGGCATCCGAGTCTTTGCATGCGTCCAGGTCAACGCACTGGATTCGCAGGGTGCCTCAAGGCGGGAGCCCGGCTCAGTGCAACAACTGATGAGTAGTATAATTGTTCTTGCAGGCTATCATCTTTGTGATGCATAGAGGAATATGTTTGACATCATGAACATTACTAGTGTTACTTGTAGCGATGCTACGAAGATCATTACATTGGCGTCACTCGCATGCTTCTCGATTCATGGCCTGGATATTCCATTCGCACGGCACGTGCGAAACCCCACAAACCACTGTGGTCCGGAGCACCTTCCAGAAGCAAAGCGACATGCCGCGAGAGAACGCATGTGCACGTACATGCCGAAGTGTGGATATTCATCCATAAATCCATCCATCCATGAATCACCCTAAACCGTAAACCCCAAACCCCTAACCTCGAAACCCCTCCGTGGCCTCGCTGCTGCTTCTGCTCTGCTGCCAGTGGCTGGGCTCCGTAGGTCGGGAAGACCACCAAGGGAGCCTTTTAGATGCTTTGGTCCCAGTTTGTCAAGTTCTGTGAGGATTCTTCAGGGTTTGTATTTAGGGTTAAGGGATTTGGGGTGAGGGGGGTTCTTAGCATTTTGCCATGACCAGCGAGCCTTGCTGCCCAGCTTTGCAGCTGCCTACAGGAACAGGCTCGACGCGTACCAAAACAGGCATCGTCCCACTGTGTTTGTGTATGTTGTAGTATGACTAGGCAACCGTACTTAAAGCCAAGTTGGCGGACTTATTGCCATGCTCCTCGTAATCACGGTTCTCTTATTAACAACATCATAGTGATACCGATCATGCCTGTAAGGCGTACCACAATACTTTTGTCGTGTGCAGACTGTCAGCGAAGCTGCCAAAACACATGACTCCGCCTTGGTAAGGACCATCGCGCGCTCCAGAACACTGACATCGCTGTGCTCGCCACCTTCATGTGCAAAATATGTCTGCCCCAGTGGCTGAAGGCGGGCGAGCTTTACTGACAGGCCGCAGATCCCTTCTGCACTCCGGGGAAGTACTACATCAAAGCCTACAGGACCAGAGTCTGACTTCTCCAACCTGGAGCTGCTGAGTCTGCAGGAGACGCACCCCAAGCGCTGTTGCTGGCACCCGTGGCCATCAAGCCGTCGGCGAGTATCACGGCAGTCCATGCTTCTTCGGAGAGTAGTGCAGGCAGGTCCTCTTCATCAATGCTTCCGTCGGTGCGCAAAGAAACAGATTGTTTTGATCCCACCGCCCTCAAACGTGCGCCTCGCCCTCCATAGCCAGCTCTGCACACCGGCACCGTGGATCTTCCTTGGCCTTCAGCTGCTGGAGGGCGGAGGGGCTGCCGAGGAGTAGCCACCGCGATGTCGCAGGAGCCTGCCATCAGCTTTTCGGGTTTCCCTGCGTTTCCGGCCTACGAGCGGGATATCCGAAAGCCAAGACCTGAGCTTCAGCGGGTCGCCAGGTGACGTCGTAGAGCCTCAGATCACCGGCTGACGCGCCGCGATCTGCAAAGCTTCCAATCTGCGCCGAGAGGCAGATGCTGCTCCATGCCTCTCAGGCAGGCTCCGGGAATCATGTGGGAGCGTGATGCCCAGGAGTCTTTTGGCTGCTTTCTTTACGTTTCAGTGCCATGAGCTCGGATCCAAGCCTTGGCGTCCCGAAGCTTGCAACGTTTTTTGAATATGCTCATCGCCTGGGGCTGTACGGAGGCCGGATATTGGGTTTTGAGAGATGTTTTAGAGTCTCACATCAGCTCATACTCCACACTCTGGGGCAGCCACGAACCTCCTGCAGGTGGACATGGTCGAAGTACAGCAAAGCCTCGCCTGCATCAAGCTGCTACACTCCAGACCCGGGCTGACCAAACGTGACAGTGACGGGAGGCCTCGAGCGGCTACAAAACTATTGCGGGCACTGCAGGAGCAGGCTTACTACCTGCGCCCCGCCTGCATCGTTCAGAAGCCATGAGCGGAAGACGGTAGACTTGTCAGTGAAGTCGATGAGCTGAAAATATGACAGCACACCGATGGAAAACCTGAGTCTAGAAAGAACGGGTATCCGTCCACAGGTGGCAGATGCAGGAGTTGACACTTGCTATGTTGGCTGTGCGGTGTCGAGGCTCATCGACAACATGACTAGCGCTTCCATGAAAACTACTGTTGTTAACGGTACCCATCAGCAGCAGTAGTGCCAGAAGAAGTAGTAGTAGCAGCGGCAGGAGTAGTAGCAGTGGCAGTGGCAGTGGCAGTGGCAGTGGCAGTGGCAGTGGCGGTGGCAGTGGCAGTGCTAGTGGCGGTGGCAGTGGCAGTGGCAGTGGCAGTGGTAGTGGTAGTGGCAGTGGTAGTGGTAGTGGTAGTGGTAGTGGTAGTCGTAATCGTAGTAGTAGTCGTCGTAGTAGTAATAGTAGGAGGAGGAGTAGTAGTAGTAGTAGTAGTAGGAGTAGGAGTAGTAGGAGTAGCAGTAGCAGTAGCCGTAGTAGCAGTAGTAGTAGTGGTGGTGGTAGTAGTAGTAGTAGTAGCAGTAGTCGTAGTAGTAGTAGTAGTAGTAGTAGTAGTAGTAGTAGTAGTAGTAGTAGTAGGTAGTAGTAGCAGCAGCAGGTCAACGAACGACGACGACACTACTACTATCACCACCAGCACCGCCACGGCCACCGCCACGGCCAACGCCACTGCCACCACTACCGCCACCACTACTCCTTCTGCGGCTCCTAACAATACTGCTGCCGTTGCTGCTGCTCCTGCTGGTGCGACTGCTACGACCACTGCCACCACTACGACCACTGCTGCACCTCCTGCTGCTGCTGCCACTACTGCCACTTGCTACGACGACCACAACGACGAGGGCTGCTTTTGCTGCTACAATACTCCACTCCTCTCATGCTTCTTGACAGCCATTCCCAACTCGGTCCGAGTGGCGGCCGGCCGCAGGGCTGGAGCCGTCGAATGGAGAGAGGAATCTTCAACGTGCCTTGGGGCCATGGTTTAGAGGTGCAGAGCACTGAGCATTCTGGTTTTCGGAGTTCCCGAACGGCGCACCAGTCGCCCTGAAGACTCCACAGCGACAACTAACTGATCTGAATCGCCGAGGGTCCAATTCCAGTCGCCAGATCAGCCAGGGCCATGGAGGCTTGGAAGGATCCATCAATCAGCGAGGGCCCAAGCCAGAAGCCAACGTGAGTTCCATCCCTCTCCATCTCCAGCCGCGCAAATGATTCTTTGTCCCCTAAGGCGGTCATATTGGGATTGTCAAGCGGCCATTGACCATGAACGTTTACCCCCATGGAATTATGATGAGAGTGACATTGTTGCAATCGTCATCGATACTGCCGCTGTAGCTGTAGTTCTGTGATAATACTCAGTATTAGAATTCGTATTGCTATACTAGTTTTGGTAGTAGTGGTAGTAGTAGCAGCAGTAGTAGCAGTAGTAGATGATGATCAACCACAACTCGACTCTTCAGCTTCGCCGGCCAAGCTGCCCTTCTGCACATGTCGCACTGTGCGGAAGCGCGGCTGAAGCGGCAAGCCGCTCTGGCGGCCACAGGAGTACATCAGGTCGACGTCCACTGGCTCGGGGCCTGAGCTCCATGACAGCGGTAATGATGGTCAGAAGAGGAACATGACAGGATCCATATGCTGAGATTGCCAATTGTCGATTCTAGTGGCCAGACCATAAAGATAACACGAGTAGCGACGATGGTGGCAGCGATGGAAAGTATCAGCGGTCATGCCCAAGATTTATCCTACTGACTGTGGTCATGCAATGATGAGAAACACTGCTGTACAAATGTTTTTTCTGGATCTCTGAAAAACGATGGACGTTGAGGTGGTCTGTCGACCTTGCTGTCTGGCCACATTGCGATCGGAGGCGGTTCAGGTCAAAGCCATCCTGCAGAACGCAATCTGGCTACAAATAAAGTGCGTGGTCCGCTTCTGAACAAATATGATGAGCAGGATGAAGAAGAAGACGATGATGATGGTGGAGCCTGTCGTGATAATTCTGACGGCCATGGGTCTGGCGATGGTGAGGCTGATTCCGAATGTCAGGCCTGCAAGCCTACTAAGATGCACAAGACCCATGAGAATCAAACTCTTGCATGGGTGATGACACGCAGAAGGGGGGAATGTGATGATGCGGATGATGACGCTGATGCTGATGGTGGGGTATTGATTTTGGTTGTGATAGCAATGATGAATCTGCTAACGGAGGTGATGCTGGCAAGAACACGACGATGTTATGATGTTGATTCTTGTGAAGACGGCGCACACGATGGTACGGTGTATGATCATAGAGACGACGCATGATCACGGACCTCGACGACGCAACGACAGCGATGCAACCACACCCGCGATTTGTCGACAAAGGCGGCGGCAACGACGGTGGCGGCAGCCAAGGCCATGAAGTTCTGTTAGATAATAGTGTCGATGGTGATGATAATTATGAGGAGGAGGAGGAGGAGGACGAGGAGGAGGACGAGGAGGAGGAGGAGGAGGTTGAATGCAATTTCTGGTGATGGCAAATGATGATGGCACTGGCAGGTACAACAGTGACAAAGATAAACGAGCCGAAGGGGATATAGAGACTGCAGCTTCACAGCGCATCGTACCTCTTTTCCTTTCACCCTTCGGTTGGCATTCGAAGTGCACTGAGAATCCGTGCAACCTGGATTCGAAAAACCGGGCTGTGAGACCCTTTGACCGCCCGGCGAAACCAGAAGCCAGAAACTCGTGCCCTTCTATACAAGGGTGAGGAGGGTGGGAGAATCAAAAGTGGCACCTCGAGCCGATAACTTCGGTATCGGCTCGGTGCCCTTTGTCAAAAGATGCATGCTGCATTCCCTGACAAAGATAAACGAGCCGAAGGGGATATAGAGACTGCAGCTTCACAGCGCATCGTACCTCTTTTCCTTTCACCCTTCGGTTGGCATTCGAAGTGCACTGAGAATCCGTGCAACCTGGATTCGAAAAACCGGGCTGTGAGACCCTTTGACCACCTCGTCACAGCCCGAAGCCCACCAAGTGTCGAGGTAGTTGGAACTGTAGCCCTATGCAAAATGCCACAGTAAACCCAGCAGCGCCGCCGGTGCGTTCTCGACCGCGAAGTCGAAATCATGGGACACCCTCAAAAGAATGTGCCAAAAGTCGTGAAGATTCGAAGTGAGCTCAGCCCAACCGTGGCTGCGACCTATGGTAGCGTCGCCTCTAGAAAACGGGTCTGAGATATTGTAATCGCTGGGGACCCATTGAAAATGGGGTTGCCAACCCTTCAAGACTACAATGGACCAAAAGCAGGCCAAAAGGTTGTTAATCGCTTGATCTCGTCCGCAGCCTTTGCTGAGAGCAGCTCTCCCAGCAGAATTGTCGCAGAAACCGATCCAATACGGGCACAGTATCTCATGACACGATATCGCAGCCACAATCTGGGCAATGATTTCAAGGGCATAAATAAAGGCCTTCCGACTAGCAAAGCGGATCAAAACCTGTGCAGGTACACTGCCAAGGCCAAAACGGATGCCATGAACTGTTCGCACCACAAACCCCCAGCCGTTTCTATACTGACCAGCCGATCTAGAAGTCCATTGTGCCGGAGGCTCGTCCGACAGATCATAAAAGGAATCTCCCAGGGCGAAACACGCGTCTGCATACACGACGGCCTTAGGTTCCTTACCCAGAGGACGCCCGCTTGATTTTTTTCAATCGGCCGCTTGATTTTGGAGGCACACGAAACTTCTATTGAATTTGAGGAAATTTCAATCGTTTGGAACTTTTGTTGGTACGTGTTTCTATTGATTTTGAGTGTTGACTTCTATTGATTTTAATCGTGGTCTTTCTATTGATTTTATGGAAAATTTCTATTGATTTTATGGAAAATTTCTATTGATTTTATGGAAAATTTCTATTGATTTTATGGAGATTTTCTATTGATTTTGAGGTGGATGTTTCTATTGATTTCAATGACCAGCTTCAAGCTGAAACGACGGCCCGGGCGGCCCCAATTTGCTAACCAAAGAGAGAGAGAGAGAGAGAGAGAGAGAGAGAGAGAGAGAGAGAGAGAGAGAGAGAGAGAGAGAGAGAGAGAGAGAGAGAGAGAGAGAGAGAGAGAGAGAGAGAGAGAGAGAGAGAGAGAGAGAGAGACAGACAGACAGAGAGACAGAGAGACAGAGAGACAGAGAGACAGAGAGACGGAGGAGACGGAGGAGACGGAGGAGACGGAGGAGACGGACAGAAGAGATGGGATGTGGGCCGGACGGCCCCACGAAGGGAGAAGGCGGGGGAATCATTTTTGGCAGGTTCGTGCATGGCAGCCGTCTTGAAACCAAAGCTTCCAGGGGCCGGACGGCCCTAAGAAGGAAGAAGGGGGGGAATCATGCTTCAAAGCTCGTGCATGGCAGCCGTCTTCAAGCCAAGCTGCCAGGAACTTTGGGCTAGGTCAAGATGCAGGGCGATGATGAAATTGTCGTCCAGGCCTATGCCAAGCTGCTTCACGCCAAGGTTCCAGGCAAAGTCGCGAGGTCCTTGGTCGTGATGTGGCGGAGAGGTTACCGAGACCAGCTGGAGATTCTTGGCATGAACACATATACATACATATATATATATATATACTTATACATATGCCGTATATAGACTTTGTATTTAATTTTTTACTTATATAGAGCTAAGGGATGTCGACAAGGTAGTGGGCTTCCTGGACTTTTTGGAGTACCTCATGTACAAGATCGAGAATGATATGGACATCGACCCCGAGCGCTGGCCGGAGGCGACGAAGCACATGAAGATGAAGGAGCACGGGTACATCCGGTTGTTGCTCAACGATGCTTCATTGATCGCTCTCCAAGCAAACCCAGGCATGTTGGCAGAACCTCAGATGGACACCTCGCCATGCCAGGCCTTGAGCCGAACGACGAAGCCTCAACTACTTTCGGAAGCAGTGCGGGTGGGGGCCAAGGTACACCAGTCCTGGAGCGACCAGGAGTTGCGGGCGAGGATCAGGGAGCACGTCGACGCTACATTTTTTTGAAATTGAGCCGCCCGTGCGCCAGGTCCGAGGGTCTGACCAGTGCCAGGCGGCTGGGAGGTGAGCTCCAGGACGCCTCAAGTTTTGAGAACATAGGAAAGTGTGGAGGCGGCAGAGATTCTGCCGCTTCCGCGCCGTCCCAGGTTCCAAGATTCAAGGGGTCGTTTGTTAGAAGCGGCTTAATTCAAGTGCTAATCCAGGGCAGGCTACTGCCAGGGTATAATTCAAGCCGAGATCGATCAAGCCCTGCTTGACATGCAAAATTGTCTTGGCGAGAAGAGGACCTGAGCTGAAGTTTTTTTTCATAGTACGCTGCATGCTTCAGGCAGGCCTAGCCAGGTCCTGGGCTTCAAGCTCCAGGCAGGTCTGTCGGGTTTAAGTGCTGCAGGCCGCCAGGCAAGTCCTCAGGTTCTTAGAGCCATGGGCAGCCCCGCAGCTGCTGGCCGCGGCGGCGAACGCAACTTCGCCAAGCCGGAGGTGGACCAGGAGCACTTGCTGGACGTGTTCAAGAAATACGTCAAGCTCCTAGGTGTCCAGGCCGCCTTCAACTTCGACCCCTACGGCAACCTAACCAAGACGAGTGCTGTCCAGGCCAAAGGGCTTTCAAAGGCGACGGTTTTGCTCAAGAAACTCCAGGAGGTGGAGAGCGGCTTGGCTTTCAAGTACAAGGACTTGAAGGAGTGCTTGGCCAAGGTCAGCAAAGACCACCCGGACCTCATCCAGCAGGCCCCGCTGAGCAAGCAAACTGCTTGGGCTGGGGACACGGCCGAGATGCTGCTGATCGTCATGGCTCATGCTCGCCGCTTGTGCAACGACACCAGGTTCAAGGAGGCTTGCAGCAAGGCGACCCAGTTCGAGATCAAGGATCTCGAGGAACTCAGGGCGCTGCTTCTTCCAGAAGTGTCGGCCTCACCAGCCAAGCTCCAGCAGGCGGAGACCCACAACACCAAGCGGCCGAGCACAGGGACGCCAAACCCTGCGACCAAGCCGCCAAAGCTACCTGCGAGCAGTCCGCTTCGAAAGATTCGGACCAGGGATCTGGAGCTTCCAGACACTCCCAAGACCGCCAAGACGAGTTTGAGCCAGGAAGCCGAAGGCAGTCCCGTGCCAGGCAGCAAGGCTCGAATCAGGAAGTCTTGGGAGGGCGAGGTTTTGAAGAAACCAGCTGCAGCCGCTAAGCCTGTGAAAAAGGACAGTGACAAGCCGAAGAAGAAGCCGGCCTCTAATCTTAACATTAGAAAAAAATTTTTGTTGTTCGTAAGCATATATTTCTATCTAGGAAGATGTATTTAAGTGAAGCCCTGAATGTTTTCTCCATCATCAGGCCCCCAAGGACAAGGACAAGCCCGAGTTGACGGAGGCTGAAAGGGGCAAGCTGCAGATCATGCACTACCACGACAGTGTCGCATTGAGAGTCGACGGTTCTAGGCAGCTTTTCCAGATCGTGTGCAGGAAGCATGGTCGGGATAAGACCAAGCTTCAGGTTGCCAAGATGAAGAAGAAGCTCGCCGAGGGCGGCTCTTTGGCAGAGGCCTTC